AAGTCGGAGAGATAATAAACTTGAGCTCCTCTCAACCGATGTCGATTCATCAATGATAAATCCTTCAGCCGAATCATCCATCATAAGTTTCTAACAATAAACCGAGAAGACTTCTATTCTTCATAACACAATTCCCGGCTCATAAAATCCACGGCGCGGGGTAGAGGAGAAGAAAAAAAATACGAGAAGAGCTTCCGACAGTGGGATAAAGCACAAAGCGCTCGTATCACGGAATGAGATGTCATGAATACCTGATGAAATTATTGGAATCATTGATAATGGTGAAAATCCGAGATATGTTCGAGTGAATGTCGAAGAGGAATGGAAATGATGGAGTGGACTGAAACGCTGAGAGCCCTGAGAGGGAGGGCAGGGTAGATGGAACCGAGAGTGATCGAGTTCGGGAAGCCAGTGGAAACTCAAGAGGAGCATGATAGAGCAAGATATATTGTAGGAAGAGGTGCAACCCCTGTTGAGGGGTGGCTAAAGGGGTGAATTGGAGTGGAGGCTTGCGGAGGCAGTTGGGTAATGCAAACAAACCGGAAGACAATGGCGTCGCCATGACAGGCGAGCTGATGCTTTGTCGTAAACGAGAGATCGAGGAGGGCGTACTATACTGGCCAATCATGCCGAGAGTATTGGAGAGTCTTGTCAATTTGTCAGATTCATGATTATAAACTAACTTTCAAAGTCATCTCTCATCGCTTCTTCGCGCCTGCAGCGACATCCGCTGAGTCGAATTCAACAAACGTCGCGCCATTTTCAAGATCATTTCATGATCCACGTGTCTATTTAATTTTATTTATCTTCAACCATTCTGCCCCGTGGTTTTTTACTTTATTTCCACTACCGAAAACGTTCCGATCCAAATATCGATCGTTGTAACGCAAAACCCGTCAATCACTCAGGATCTAATAGAGAAGAGAGTAAATGCGAATATTTGCGGACGTTGAAGCGGAGAAAAAAAAAAGAACTCAGAGACACGAAAGAAAATTCTAATAATACCTTTTTCCTCAAACAACTCCCTCCGCGATGATTATGAAGTCGAAGTAATTCAATCGAACAAAAGAATTTAATAAGACCAGAGATTTCTCATTACAATGATAGAACCTCCGGCGCAGAATAAATTTTATTATAAAATTCCCATTTCATTTTTTTTTCTTTCCCATGGAAATCCTTCTCTCCAATTATTCGATGGGATCACGTGGAAGCCATTATGTTCGCTAATATTTAGTATTCCAGCATTATAGTACAGAGAAAGCTCGTCGTGTACAGCAATAGAGTGAGAGGGAGAAATTGGTTGGTGGAAGAGGTGGAGGAGATGGAGGAGGTGGAGGAGGTGGAGGAGGTGGAGGAGGTAGAGGAGGTGGAGGAGGTGGAGGAGGTGGAAGAGGTGGATGAGGTGGATGAGGTGGATGAGGTGGATGAGGAGGAGGATGGAACGATCGAAACTTCGTTTCCGAGGAGAGAGCGTAACGCAGAGTTACGGATAATGGGGTATTCCGCGCTGCTGTGCCAGCCGTACAGCTTTTCCTTCTAACAACTACTGAACCTGAAGTACTGCAAGCTACCATTTGAATTGCTCGGATGAGTTACAACTAGTTAATACACGAATTAACGAGACAAGGTGGATAAGAAATTTCACCGAACTCCGATGTTGGTTCAGGTGAATTGAAAGAGGCCAAAGTGACCTACTCCTATTATTGCCATTCATTACCATTATTATCATTAATAATAATGATGCGATTGATTATAATTGATTATTCGCGGATAGAATTCACTCTGTGTATATTGGATCGTAAAGATTACTATGGATTGTCAACGATGGAAAAAAAATTCAATAAATGCAACCAATATTCAATTATCCGAAGAAATTAAAGGGATAAAGTATCGTATTATCCACATCCTACCGCAAACTAATAAATGTAATTGTGGATTCCGGTGTAAACCGAAAACTACTCGTGTTTATTATTTATCGATCCGCCTTTACACTCCACCCATTGCCCTCCCCCCTCGCTGTTTAACCGCGCAAAATGTAACCTTCCGCACTAGAATTATCAGAATGATATGTAGCAAAATGGTGTATATCGGTATTTCCAACAGCGCCCAGTGTATGTAATACGAAATGGAAAATTACTCAGCCGAATGAAATCGCATACAGTATCATGAAGCTTCACGTATGTATGTGGCAACCACTCGTATTCATCAGATTCATGTGGCACTTTTCTTTATTAACGCGGGTTATCAAAATATTCATCCCTGAATTTTTCATCATTTTTACCGCTGGGAAAAACAAAAAAATTCCATTTCACTGGCTATTTTTTTAGTTTTATTATTTTATTTTTCGTCGACACTGCGAGGGGTTCACTAATAAATCGAGTGACAAACAAAATGATATACAGATGTTTTCGTATTAAAATGCGTCGATTTAACGACTGAAATGAACACCGGAATGTAATGCATTTTTCCTATCAACATCAACACGCACGTCTGCTCTGAAATTTACTCACGATTTTTAATTAAAATTCACCTCGCCATTTTCCTTGCAACTTCATAGAATTCACAGAGGCTCTGCCTTTTCAATACAACCAATTACAATTCGCCCCCCTCCTCCCCCCATCCTCTCTTCTCTTTGCCAAATAATCAGAAAGATCAAGGGGAAGCTTTGAATAAAAATACAACTTTTATCCAGAATAATTGGGGTCACGATAAAAAAAGGGGTGGAAAAAAAAAATGGAAAAAAAGTTCCCGAAACTTTTGCGATTTTATCATGAAAATCCTTCGGAGGTGGCATCAACCGCAAGAATTGACTTTTTGAAATCCTCCCCCTGCCATTTTATCCTAACCAACCCCCAAAACCTCGGGGAAAAACGAGAGGGCAAACAAGACGCGGAAAGTGGTCGCCTCTTTGTCATCCCAAGTGGAAAGAGAAGTCGAGGGTTTTCCCCGTGAAGAGTGAAAAAGTCGAAAAGAAAAGCCCAGTTCAACCAATGGAAATGGATACGGCAATTTTTGTCTCTCTCTTTTTTTTTCCTCAGCCAGTTGAAACTGAAACAAAACTGCAACGAGGAATCGACGGAGTAAAATAAACTTTATTCTCATTCCTTTGTTTCGCGCGAGCTGAGGTAGTGGAGAGGTATTGGATATCCCAAGAGTTACGAAAATTGAGGGAAAATTGTTTGAAATAATTTTTTTCAACTGGAGGTATTTCATTTGCCCTTTTACAATTATTTCTGAAATATCCAAAAAATTTTTTTCATCAACCACGATAATAATCCCGAAAATATGGATTATTCAAAATGGTGAATGATGGAATAATGAAGAGATAACCCGAATTCGTTTGTTTCTCATTAAAAAGCTCTTCAAGAAGATCTTCACGAGACTAATGGAAAAAACTGAATAAACGAGTAAAACCTCATTAATTTGCTTCTTTATTCCCGCAATTTCCCTCTGGGACGGCTAATTTTCCGGTGTCTTAGTCCATCCTTAATTCAAAGACACCCTAGAGGCCCATGAAATTGCAACATAAAAGAACCCTGAGTTTTGAAAAAAATACGACAGTCCAAAAAGTTGACAATTGATGGACATCTATTAATTTATCATCTCCATTTTTTACGGCCAACGGCTACCTCATGGATAGTCGTACGGAAAAAAATTGAGACTCGTAATCTAAGGGTCATGGGTTCAAGCCCAGCCCGCGGCGATTTTTCGTCTTTTTCTTCGATTGATTATCATTTGAAATTGAAAATTTCCAAAAAATTTTTTTTGCTGCTTGTTCTTTGCTTGCGATATTTTTTAAATAAACATCTACTCAGATTCTACTGGCCTGAGGCCTCACCCTCAGGCGGCGCCACATCCCAATCAATAAAATCCCGAATCCCTATTTTACCAGCCAAGTCTACACTCAAGTTGATAAGTCCGAGATCTTCTTCTTTTACCAACGGGCTGTCGATTTTTTTCTCGTTGGTGTCGGTAAAAGAAGACCGGACGCTACCTCAAACAACAAAGAAAGATTCTTATGTCCATTTCAAACGGAATAAGTTTGAACCCATAAAAAATTTATAAGATGACTTGAAATTTTGTTGGACTCTCTGACGACGACGTCCTCAAATTTTTCATGCGAATCTTTTTGATTATTTATGAGTGAGAGAATTAGGAGAAGGGCAGAAAGGTCCTCGGAATGAAACTAGAAAGCTCTGGGCCCCGGGAGCTTTAGCGAACTCGATCCTTCATTCTATATTTTTTTTCCCTATCTCTCTGTCCCGCCAGAAAAATTTTCATCCCACTTGTAACGCCATACACTTTGCCTCTCAGAAACGAGGAGAAACTTTTTATGAGCTTTCATATGAACCCGCTTCTCGTTACTTACTTTTATGTTCTACAATTTTCAAAGTTGCCGGAGGGGCTGAGTGTTTTTTTTTCCCTCGTGCCGTCAGGGTTGATTTGAAGGGATTCCTAGTTTAAATGAATGTAATTAATGGAGTGAGAGGGTATTGCGAGGAAAGTTTGGCCAGTCGAGCTGTTGGCAGGAACTATCTCTTCAAGTTTTTGAAGCCACGGAAAAAAAATTTATTGATCACAGAATTTGTAATCCGATCTTTCTTACCCAAAGAGAGTTCAATTTAAATTCGTCTAAATACTTTCGCGTCGATCTTTCAAGGAGTCTCAACCGATATTTAAAAAATAATTCGGAAGAACATTTGACTGGAATAAATCAGCGAGCGCCAGTTGACGCCAGACAATGAATCGATTGCAAGTCAATCATTAACCGTACGTGCTCGATTGAGAAAGCGATAATGGTAAAAGTAACAATAGCAACGATTCCCAAAAGGAAGTGCAACCCGGTATGCACCAACTGTCCCTGGCATTTTACCAGCGATGTCAACGGCATTCAGTTGGTCAGAGACCCCGCGACAATCTGCCAAAAATGCCTCAACCCAGCGCCGCACGCGAATACCAATGATAAATAAATAAATCCAACTGATAAAATAAAAATCAACTCACCTCCAGGTGAGATTTTTGTACGGCCACGGTTGTCCGTGAATTGTGAATCTTCTGTGTCTTGATCTGCGATATCGGGGATCTGGCATGTCCGATAAACCGCATCTACGTGATCTCATTAGTTTCTTCGTCGCCTCGTCTATCTCACCAGTCACAGGTATTCCACCGTTACTCTGCAAAGTTTTGTCAAGTCAAACACCATTTGAATATCAAAACTTTAAACGTTTCAATTTAACTTGAGAAATATCAACAATCTTGAGTGTAATTATGGCATTATCCGAGGGAGGAAATTACGGCGAGAGTTAAGCGTTGATACTTCAATATTGCCTTTTTTTTAAATAAATCACTCTAAATATTTTATCATCAAACAATTCAGTCCATTTTGAATCGCACTTATTGTATTTCTTCATAATTGTCACATTTTTCTAAACCCCGGTCGCGCTCCGATATTCTCAACAATTACCGACTGCCGGTAAGATTCCCGCAAGTTGTCACCCTGACTAGTCACTTTATTTTTCAAGAACGAATGATCAATTCGAGAGCTGTAATTCATTTATTTATAATTTTTAATGGATTCCATTGAATGTGAGATCAAAAATTGAGTTATCACGCAGCATCACGATAAGATTCAATTTTTCCGGAGATGTTTTCCATCCAAATATTATCATACGTTTGATTCCACGTGATATTTATTCGGAAACAAGATCGTAGCGACACTATTTACGTATTCCAAGGCGTGTATATTTTTCCATTTGGTAGTGGAGAGAGATCCGTACTTTATCCATTCATCTGTATAACCATCTCCCTCTTTTCTATCTCTTTATCATTCCGTTGGAGCGACTTGGGCCGTTGACGAGCTCGATTTTCATGCAAATCCCATCGCCTTCAAGGAGGGCTTCAGAAAAAAAAAATGAAGATGGGATGGTCTCTAAAGGTGCACGTGAGATCAGTTTCCAATGGAACATTGACGCCTATATGCCAGGTATATCGGTCTTCACCAGCTATTCCATCAACTTGGAGATGATGATAGAACGAAAATTCTAAGGCTTCGACTTATCTTTCCATATTTTATGCGCTATTTCGTCTCTCGGGAGACGGAAAATGGAATATCTTGGTGTCAATAAAAATATGTCGGCTATTATTTCGGTGACGGGGATCTCTGGGGATAAATTGACGGAATTCGTCGGAAAATTCGGAAAATTCATCGCAAAACCAACGGTTTTTTTATATTATTCCCCCCGGTGGTGCGCTTATACCGGTTTATGGATTCAATACGGACATTATTGTTTTACTCACCTGGAGATTTCTTATCGCGTCCCGCAGCTGATCGTCTGTCCTCAGGTTTCCGGTTTCCAGATCGCTCTGCGGCAGGTACCCAAACCGCATGAGATAATTTTGCTGAAACAAAAAATAATGAAACATTAATTTCATTGGAATGGCAGGGGTGGAGGAAAAATCTTCGAGGAAAAGTTTCAAACTTCCCCAGGTGAGTAATAAATACTGGGGGTGGGGAACTCAGGATGAAAGTTCAGAAGAATGTTAAAAGTATTGGGATGTGAGTGCTTTCGATGTTTTATAGGATTAGCCGGGGGGTACCGAAACAAATTTTCTGTTCGATACAAATCCCATCGAAGAATCATCTCTCATGGCACCACAACATTTTTTTCTTCAACTTTTTTTCAATTTTTAACGTCTCAAAGTCAATTGCAATTGCATAATTTTGGAATATTAAATAATTCTTTTGAAAAGATAAAAAATCTCTTGACAAATACCACCAAAAATTCAGGCTTCAAATATCCGTTTCCACCCCCGAATTTCGAATTTCCCAAATGCTCATTACGAAGCCAGCTAATTACCCCAAGCCCTGAAAATTAATAGTTCGTCGGCTGGCAACGTCCAACGGAGACAGGAATTGATCCCTCGTCATATCCATCAGTGCGATTAATTCGACCGCTGCATTCGTCTCGAGCTGCAATAATTCACCCCCTCGACATCACGAGTTATGGTACAAGTGAATTAATCACCGATAAAGGTAACCATTGATGCCCGAGAGTCCCATATTTGGTAATGTAACGACTACTGCAGGTCCCCTTGTCTTTTTTTTTTTTCTAAATTGTTTTTTCATGCCATTGTGAAACATCTTTTCGTTAGCTATGTGAAGTTGGCATCGAAGTTTGAAAAATCTAACTTTTTTTTGTTGGTTTGGATTGTACTCATTGAGTACTTGAATGTACCCTGTGCACTTTTTTTTGT